TATTCATAATTATCCTCGTATCGGCGCCCTTGGTCAAGATGGGGGTCGCTTCGGGCGCTTGCAAGGCTCTTCGCTGTACGGTCAACTCCTGTATGCAAGGCATCATTTGCATGAACGTCACCGTCGTCGTCCTCCCTCCTCTCATCGCGGGCGATGGCATGAAGCTGCACCTCGTGAATAGGCGCCAACGGTTCATCGGCTTCCACCGCTGGTTCAAGAATGACGGCCCTCGACAAGTGTGGCTCGTACTGTGGTGCTCCTCGGCGTCCGTCGTCTGTACCCTCAAGGCGTACCTGGCAGCGTTCATTGCAAGGCTCGCACCTGCCGTCAAAACCAGGCCTCTCTCCTCGGGACACTTCAAAACCCCCTCCCGAGCTTCGACTTTCTCCACCATCCCGAGGTACCCTGGTACAACATCCCAGAGATGGTGCGCACGGCGCTACCTAGGCCCAACGCACTGGTCGACGCATGGCGGACCCGCCGCGCAACCGGCGGTTTCTGGGGTTCGCATGACTGGAAGGCGGTTTCGGGGGTCGGGAGCATCATTCAGCCTGGGATGCTGCGGTTGGTCGTTGGGCTGGGAGCTGGGGGGTTCGGCGACGTCGTAAAGGCCAAGGTGCTCAAGATGACCGTGGCCGTTAAGAGAATGCCGAAGCATCGCGCCGAGATGCGATCTTGGTACATGTACGACACGCTGCGGCGGGAGATCTACGTCCACCAGACGATGCAGAATCACCCCGCCTTCCCGGACCTCTACGGCGCGTTCCGTGGGCCCGACGAATTCTTCCTCGTGATGGTATTTCCTTCCCTCCTTGCTCGAGGCATTACATCTAATCTCACGATTAGGCGTGTGGACGTAGGTGCTTCGCGGACGTCGACCTTCCCGGGCGAGAGACAGTCATATTTTATGCGGCGCAGCTGGTGTGTATCTCCTTCCAAATAGCTTGCGCTAGCTCTAACAACGCGGTCTAGGTCATGGGAGTCCAAGCGCTTCACCAGCGGGGCATCGTGCACTGCGATCTCAAGCCCGAGAATCTCCTCCTCGATAACGACAACCTCGTCATCATAGACTACGGTCTCGCTGGCCTCTTCGACATGGACGCGTACCCTGCTGAGCTCTTTCCCCGCTGGCACGATCTCCGAGACGCGGGCACCGACGCCTTTCCATTGCTGTGGACGGGGCCGGATAACCCCCACTCCCTCGAAGTCGCTGGTGGTACCGAGGGATATAGGTCCCCGGCGTCCTCCGAGCCCTGCTCATATGGAGTTGATCTGTACGCGCTCGGCGTCATCGTCCACGAGTGGCTGACGGGCAGCGTAAGCCGTCCAGTCCTTTGTTCTTAGCCGATGCTCATCCGATCTGTAGCTCCCTGACGTCTCCCCGACCGCTCTGTGGATCCCTGACCCAGCCCATGGCCTATCGACGGTGGACAGGGACTTCGTGCATAGTGTATGTGCTCTTTTACTCTTGCTTACCCAGTTCTCATTCTTGACTCGCAGCTGCTATCTGTCGACGACCCCGATCGCTTTGAGGACTACGGGGAGCTGAAGGCGCATGCCATCTGGAGCGGGTGAGTTTTCTGCGCTCTTCTTTCGAGCCTCGCTGACGCGCTTCGTCGTTGAGGATCTCCTGGCATACGGTCGAAGACTATTACTATGTCTAGTGGCCGACATATTATAGCACCCGACATCGGTTTAGTCGCTTGCATCCATTTCCCCCCTCTCCCACCGGTCCGAGAATCGCGGCAGCAGGTCGATCGACGACGCTCCCGCCAGTAGAAGAGATCGACGCGACATTGGCCCAAGTGTACCTGGAGACACGATATTCGGCGACGTTCAAGACAGAGGGCTACGCGCGGGGTGTCTGGTGCGGCCATGAGGATCGACGGGGACGCCCATCTTTGCTCGCCACCCGACGACTTCATCACCTCCGGCCTCGACTCGTCCCGATGATTGTATCGTATCCCGGTGCTCGCGGTTGATGCGTACGTTGTCCCTCCCTTGCTCGCGCGGCCATTTGGCTCACCTCGACGTTTCTCTAGCGCTGGCGTTCCTTGGGCGGTTAGCTTCTCGCCCTTCGTCTGCACCCCGACCGCCGGAAGGATTTTTTTTGGCTTTCTTCACCCTTGACGGCGGCGACTTATTGGGAGGGATGGAGCCTGTGCGAGGATGGAGTTGTATAGGCGCGGGTCCGGCGACCGGACGACGGCAACGAGTTGCTTCTCTTGCCCTAGGACCCACCTCCCGATTCTGCGTCGCCCCGGCACCTCCAACACCGGCACTTCCGGCACCACCCATACCTCGAACTCCCTCATCGCTTTCTTCTCCCGCCTGGTGCGCCGTCTTCGGTCCTCACGCCCAAGACCTTTTCGTCCTTTCCTTCTTCCCCCCGGACTCGATGTGGACGACGCAGGCTTGTGGCGCTTACGGTTATGGCGATGTATTGGCCTGAGTCCGGCGACCGGTCGAAGGTTTTGAGGTGCTTCTCTTACCGTAGTCCTACCTCTCCGATACCGCGCCGCCCCAGCATCTCCGCATACTGTATACTCCCTCTGTTGTTGTTGGGCCCTTTTGTTCTTATACCCTCTTTGATTGTAAAATTCATTTCAATTCGTATTCTGATCTCTCCGTTTGATTACGGGACAATCGTACATCTAAAATAATTTCTCCCCTCGGATATTGGCGAGGAGGAAGAGGAGAAGTGCAGTGCATCACTAAAATATATTACACCTGCATTTCCGAGCCGCACAGTGACCTCCCACATCCACCGCTTCGCATCTACGACCTTCGCGATGCTTGCACTGTCGGAGAATCGTGTGCCCACGCCTTGAGTCGTCGGCGTTCGCGACAAACTTGAAGACGTTCCAATATGATTGGCAATCACCGGCTTTCTCTCATGGACCACATCCTCACCTTGGACGACCTCCGCGTAAGTCGCACGGGACCACGAGAGACGGGCTTAATCTCTGGCTAGGTTAAATCCTGCTTCATCTGTCTGGAGGAAGAACACGCGCCTGGTGAGCATAACCAGATACTTCCACCTTTCTCAGACTTTGACTTCGGTTGCGGTGTTTCCAGCTTCGAACACGGCGCTCTGGGTCCATCCTTGTCCCAACTGTGCCCTCATCGCGCACGACAAGTGTCTCATCCGCTGGATCAGCTCTCTGCCTCTTCGGAAGCGACACTCCAAAAATGGTCCTGCTCACACCATTTTTGTGCTTGATACATTCAAATGCCCGCATTGCGGGTGCCCCTATGAACTCGCAAATCCGCGACCGCCCAGGCTACACTGGCTTGGAATGATATACGATACGCTCTACGTGATCGTCTCTGAATTGGGGGAGATTGCCTGTGCTCTCGTCGGCGTCGCTACTCTCCAGAGTATTCCCATCGCGCTTACCGTGCAAAGCCGAGTGTCTGTGCTGTCAGGTTTGAATGTTAATTAGCACAGGACGTTTACAGCTGCTAATTATTCCTCTAGGGATGTTTATCTACGAACTCTTATTCCTAGAGTCTTATTTGGGCCCACAGTACGTTGTCTACTACGAAATTCCGTGACAGTTACTCATTCTCAATGCAGCATGTTCAGCCTCCTGCTAACGGACAAACCCAGCAACTTCCTCAGATCCCTCTTTATCGTCGTTCCCACCATTCCTTTCAGGCTGCTGTTGCCCGGAACGATGCCGAAGTGGATAATACTTCTTTATCTCAGTATTCCGCCCATCCTGCATGCAATGATTGACCTGGGGACCCTTATGCCGCTAGATAACCAGCCTGGACTAGATAGCCAACTTAAGGTCTCCAACGCGACCCGTCACATGGTATCGACTTGGCCACCGTCCCCAGCGTTGCTCGGCCTAGCCATCGTGCCCCTCATACGCCCCGTTTATAACCGCCTGTTTTCTCGTTTCCAAGTCTGGGTCCTTGGATCATCCCCACCTCATCGCTCAAGGCGCTATTTAACCGACCGGATGAGGGGCGCGCTCACCTTTGGCGCTCGTCGTCGTCCACCACCACCAACCATCGATCTGCAAGATGGAGACCCGATGCCAATTGTCATCGCGGATCAAATCATCCAAAAGGACCAGTCGTCTTGCACGCATGATGTCCTGCACGCCATATTGATCGTTGGAGTCCCGCGTCTTTTCGGGAACCTCTTACTCGCGGCGTCCGGGTATTCCCCTTATCTGCGGCGCTTCTTGGGGCTGCGACCGCCGCCGACGCTGCCCCGCGACGTGTACACCTATTACCCCAATTGGGTCGGGATGACCGTACAGCAACGAACTTTCACCGCATCCAAGGCTGTTGGCGGACTCCTTTTAGGCGGCTCGTGGATTTGGGCGGACATGGATCCCGTCTGGTATGCAGTATCCACCTCTCATCGCTTTTCCCTACTGAGGGCTACATCAGGTGGAGGAACTCTCTCGGCTATGGGCTATTTATTATAGTCAGCGTTCTCGTATCTTTCTTTCTGTCGAGTCGCTAACCCTTGTCCAGGCCAAGGATTGCTTCGAACTCTATCGACTGTGGCTTCAACAACACGAGGTGCAAAGTCGAACAATCAAGAGCCGGGACTTTACTGGCGTGGATGTAGCGGAGCTCGACTTGATTTCACCAGAGAGGTTTACATGACCCCAATTTTTTCCGTTGCAGGCGCACAGCCACACCGGTTGTGTTCGATGGTTATTCTTCCTTTGATGGCTTGAACGAATGTGAAAGTGGAGGGTTCCCATATTACACTCCGCCTGCACCTCCATCCACTCTGCTCGACGCGGATTACCTCTACGTGCCTCGGAACTGAAGTACGGCTGCGAGTGAGTAGGTATTGCGTATGGGATCCCATTCAGCTAGCTACTTTTGAATCACACGATGCTGGTTCAGTTGACAACTGAGGAAACTAAGGGAAAGTGGCGACTGTCTTCACGTTAAACTTCAAGTAATTGGTGAAGTCTCTGCTTTTCCAGTTTGATCTTAAAAAAGCAACACACTCTGCTCGTATCGGTTCTATGGTGTAGTTGGTTATCACTTCTGTCTAACATCGCGTTGAATTACGTAATGGGACACAGGCGGTCCTCAGTTCGAACCTGGGTGGAATCACGTTTTTTGTAATCTTGGCTACCTTTTTTTTTTTTGCCTCTTTGCTCGCTCTACAGTCAGCTTTCGGTCGTGTTCTGCATCTCTGATCGTTATTTAACAACAGCATATGGTACTCGGATGCCTATTGGCTGCCCTCCCGTTCCGTAACTTCCGACAGCCCACCGGTGGTGACTCTACATTTGGCTCCCGGGCCACATCTGGCACATCTGTACTCATTACCTTGACTACTACAACTCAGCCTAAATATCGGGGTATATTGCTACATCCCCCGGGTCTCTATGTAAGTTCCGAGTCTACCAAGAGGTATGGCTCAAGCCGTGAAGTTGAACCAATTCACGTTCAACCAAACCACCGTAAATGAGATATAAAAAAGTGCTGTAGTGTGTGGACTCGGATTGGGCCCGAGTTATATAAGTACATTAGAACGACTGTCTTCTCATCCTGCACTATAAAATCTGGTTTAAGAGACTAGGCCTGAGTGAGAAAGTGGGTCAAAGGAAAAAAATTGAACACCGGCCCGCCGTGATCCAATCATTTGCCAGTTGACTTCTCCACTTATCTCCATCGTCTCTATGTTTTCCAACCTCTTGTCTCCTCTTGTTAATCCTGGGGCAGCGCAGAGGGACTGGTTGGTTTCCTCTACTTACTACGCCCTTTTTTTTGGCGTCAAGCCGTCGACTAGCAGCGGACGCCGGAGTCTTCTGTGCCTTGTACTTGTCCACAGTCCGACATCTTGTCCTGATTCTTTCCTCTTCCAGCCTCTTCCGCCCCTGGTCCGTCTCCGCCCGAGGACATGACAGCCGCTTGTGGTGGCGACCGCGAATACCGGCTTCCCATAACCTCCGGGCATGGAGTCCGTTGCTTGACCGCCTTAAATTCCGTCCGCCGCTGTTGGTCTCACCGGCAACAGAAGGCCTTGGCCTCCAAATTTCCTATTTCGAACCACGGCCCTCATCTTTGTATCCCACTTCAGATCTTTTACTTGGCGATGGGCGCACAATTTTCTTTATCACCGTGCTTTCGCAGGGGCTGGCAGTGATTAGGCATGAATCTACTTACCCTCTACTGGAAGGGTATCGACATAACCTTTTTTTCCATCCCCTCCTCGCCTTGCATGTTTTCTGCTCCTTTTTCAAACACCATTCGGTCTGATGCGGTAAGCGGCCGAAGATACTAGCTTAAAATTAGTTCGCCTACGGGGAATATTCCCCACTCCATTCAACCATGTTTAAAAGGTGATGGCCTGCGAATGTACGTCTCTTAACAGCACAATATCCACCAGCATCACTCATGGCAGAACGCGAAGTCGAGATGATCTCGCTGGACCAGTCGTTGGACCACAGCACCACCTTGAATGTGGATGCCCTCCCCCCCATGGTATAGGCGTTCACATCTCTCAGGAGTATGCCTCTCAATCGATTCTAGGACCGCGGATTCCACGCACTTGCCTACCTAGCAAGCGCGTGGGTTGTCGAGCTCCTCGTCTGGTTAGTTTTATGGAACTCTACCAGCATCATCTCAAATAATTTGTACAGGTCTTACCCTTTCTCCTACGGCGTCTTCCTTGAACATTACAAGACTCATGTTTTTCCGGATGCGCCTTCCTCCACACTGGCCCTCGTTGGATCCATGTCCACCGGAATCATATACCTTACTTCCTGGATGATTCTTCCCCTCATTGCTCGCTATCCTACCATCAAGAAACCTCTCATGGTTCTGGGCGTCGTTTTCTGTGTTGCAGGATTAATCGGTGCAGCGTTTGCGACTCAGCCGTGGCAACTGGTCCTTACCCAAGGAGTTGTGTATGCTCTGGGTGGAAGTGCGCCGTGATTTTGATGAAACCATGTTTTGATCTCACCGAGCGTTCCAGGTTTTCTCTATTTCCCGGTCATGACGTACCTCTTTGAATGGTTCTCTGTGCGGAAGGGACTGGTGCGTTTTCTGACTTAGTGTTTGCGTAATATCCGACATGTTCCGTTTGATCAGGCGAACGGCATCATATTTTCCGGAACAGGTTCGTGAGCGCCGCCGCACCTCCATTATAAAAGCATAATCGTGGTCTCAAGGAGTAGGTGGTCTCGTCGTACCCTTTATTGTTGAGGTCCTGTTACGCAACTATGGCCATCGAGCCACTTTACTGTCACTTGTGAGCACGAAATGATAGCCATTATGCGTTCTGAAAACATTTCAGGCTATTGCTTTTGCAATTCTAATTATCCCGGCCTTCCCATACATGAAATCACGCTTTCCCACACCCATCTCCAAAACTGCAGCGCATTCGATCGACATGTCTTTCGTAACTTCTTCGGCATTCTGGATTCTCTTCGGCGCGAATCTCGTGCAGGGTTTGCCAACATATATACCTGCACTTTATTTGCCGAGTGAGCATTGCTCTCCGTGACATTCCCAGTCCTGATGAATACATTAAAGGTTTTGCCGCGGATTTGGGATTGGATGAAGCAGCTGGTTCTGCGACGCTATCCGTGTTGAACGGTCTGTGATGTTAAAAATGTTCACGCCAATGTCTTACTATCTATATAGGGGCGTCGGTTCCGGGACTCATATTTCTAGGATGGCTATCCGATCGCTACGACCTGCGCATTTCGATGCTCTTTTCAACCTTGGGATCGGCCCTCGCAGTCTTTCTACTATGGGGCTTGTCCGAAAGCCTCCCTCCACTGCTGATCTTTTCTTTCATCTACGGATTCCTCGGCCCAAGCTGGTCTGCGTTGTGGCCACGCTTTATTACTTCGATCGTCGGCGACGACCCCCACATGTCGTCCCTTTTATTGACTGTTTTTATTGGCGGTGAGATTGCTGTGCAATGGTTTCTTCGAAATTGAACCAAATCTGATGGCACTGTGTTCGTCCAGGTCGCGGTGTCGGGAACGTCGCTTCCGGACCCATCTCAACTGCCCTACTACGTCGCTGGGCGCTCACCGATCGCACGCCCTTTGCGTATGGATTAAACGGCTATGGCCCGCTCATTCTGTTCACAGGGTTGATGCTACTTCTGAGCACAGCGGGCATCATGTATCGGAGTTTCCAACGGGCTTCGGGGCACGGTTCAGTTTAAATTTTACTCAGCTCAATGTTGACTTCCCTGCTTTTTTATTCCACGCTCCTTTGTCTTGCACTTTACTAGCTTTGTACATGTGTATTTGAACCACATTACGATATTCTCGTCTTGTCGCCCACTTTGATCTACTCGGACGTCGGATGTGGGCACCACACACTTCTCAAACTATGTGTTGAGCGGGAATGTAATGTATTCAAGGATATGCAAGCCGTCTGGGTCTCGCATCGCATGGCCTCGCTTCGGGTTCAAGGCGACATTTCATTCATATGACAATTGCCACTTGAAGATACAACTCTCTACAATCGTGTTTCCCATTCACTTTTCAAGGCCCTCTACGACACAACTTTTGATCAGAATCCAGTGGATGCAGTTATCGGTGCCGATCGGAGAACAAAGGACCAGCCTTTTCTGGGCGCGCCACGCAATAATCAGAGACACTTCATGGCCGACAGCGTTTTTGGGACGGCCTCGAGGACGGCTGCGTGGTCAAGACATCTATGGGGCGATCCTGCTGCTTTGTTCGCAGGGACCCCATTGCAAATTAACGCTTTGATGTCAGGTCTATAAGAATGGCGACTCATTCTGGTGCCGCCCTCAGACCCACCTTGGAGCACCCACCTTGAAGGATGCAACAATATCGGCGTCCACACGTCGGGTGGCCAATATATGGACCTCCTCTCGCTCCTTCGGCACCTTGTCGCAGATATGCGACCCCACCTCCTGCACCCCGCCTTGGGTGGCCTATCCACCTTCCCTCAAGCGCAGACCATGACGGCGAAATACGCAATGGTATTCTTCTCGTTGAAAATTTCAAGCCAATTGGCCGACGACTTATGACAGAAGAAATTGTCCCCGCTTTCTTTGTGCTCCAAGTGCCTCCAGTATCGAATATCATCTATGACATCCGCCTTCCGCCGTCGACCCTGCGCTCCGCGCCGTACGCGCCGTTTTATATCGCAGCATATTCCGGTCTCGATGCACCGTTCGCCCCCTCGCGACCGTCTTCGATTCGTATCATGAGCAAAGATTTTCCATGGGCGCTCGATGTGGACGAAACTACTGCGGGAGCTGGAGTTACTTGCCGAGAAGTCCTCGATGCGCTTTACGACTCGCTGCAGACTCCTCTCGCAGATCATGAATGGGGATTCTCGTCGGACGACTTGCGGCAGCGAATACTGAGGGCATGGAGGCGGAGGGGTCCATTGCATAGTGGAAATATGACTCTCTTGAAGCGAGTGGACTTGCTGGGTGGTCGGTGCAAACTCCAGGGGTTTTGTAGAGACGAGGACTTCGTAGTACGTAGATCTTTTCCTGGGGCGCGGTCTGTAACAGATACTTGGATTGCGCGTTTTATGCATTGATTGTTCTGCCCCGCGAGGCAGTTGGAGGCTAACTCCAAGTTCGACAGGAGTCTTTATGTAAACGAGTTTTAAAAAAAGGGAACTCGCACAGCTCTACTGCTGAGCGAATTTATTGAACTTCTCCTCGTCCATGTTTGTGGAGCTCCAAATGGGCTCACAAGCTTCCACGTTCTCAGAAAGCAATTGCAGTTTTACCCGTATCCGGGAGCCGCAATCCGGACCAAGAAGAACCCTCACAAAGTCTCGCCGTCCAGCTTCAACGAAGCCCTTGGCCACACCAGTACCGCTCACAACCTCGAACATCCTGGCCGCTGCCTTGGTTAGGTCTCCCGCCTGTTTGAGACTGAGGTGCCGCGCGGCGTATGCTGCCGGGACCTCCGACGTATCTGGGTACGCCCCCGTCGCTCGTTCCGGCCGGACGCCGTTCGCACCAGCCGTGGCGAGGAAATTCGTCGGGAAGTAACCGGGCTCGATGATCAGAACTCGAATGTTGAATGGCGCAAGCTCTACACTGAGAGCTTCGGTTGCCGCTGCCGAACTCGTCAGATTTTTGTGATTTA